CAATTGAAATATTCAATTTTGTAAGCGTGCGCGCGATTTGGTGGAAAACGTTTGCCGGGTAGCATTCTTTTTACGACCCGACACACGCGCACACACGCGTGCTTGCTTTGGAGTGCTCACATAAGCTTTATTATCGCCTTTAGCGCACAAAATGCTCTCGAGCACTTGGCCCTCAACGTTTGTACCGCCGTCATGTACACATTTGTTGCGGAAGGGGCAAATGCCATATAGCTATATTGTGTTGTAGACGATTTTAACATTGTTCCTTTTTAAAGATTCAATATGGAGAAGTAAAAGGTACGCACCTACTATCACATTATAATTAAAAATTGGACCAAATATATATATATAGTACATATTAGTTATTACTCCAACTGTGACTCCAAATAAGATATTTTTTATGAAACGAACAGCATCTACTAATAGAATTGTGACAGCTCGTCGCGGCCATATTTTTTACAGATTTATGTCAAATTTTATCAGTGTGTTCTTTAAGGTTTGCCGGTTCTTCATGTCACATTTCACTTTGGTGCAACGCCTGAAAATTGTCCAACATTCACCTTCTCCGGTGACAAGTGTTCATAGAAAAATCATCTTTTCAGATGAGCCCCATTCCTGACTTAATGGCTTCGTCAACAAACAATATTGTCGCCAGTGGGGTATTCTTGAGTGGTTCGGGAAACGCAATTGCATTCCCAAAAATTGACCGTTTGGTGCGGATTGTGGTATAGCGGCATTATCGGTCCTTTTTTATTTCGAGATGGGGCAGAAAATGTCGTTACCATCAATAGCAAGCGTTATAACATGATGTTGAACGGCTTTTTCCCGCAATTTGTTGAAATCGACGCGAATGATCTCTATTTCCAACAAGACGCCTATGAAAACATTGCGTGCAAAGTTTGTCGACTCGTTACATTCGAGAAATGGCCCAATCCAGTAGACGCCAGGATCATACGCATCTAGATTATATTCTCTAGGGGCATGTTAAATCAAAGGTTTACGCCAATCACCAACCAGCAACGCTCGAGGAGCTCGAACACACGCACTACAGCCGACATTTTTTTCAAATCATAAATGGCATAAAATTATCTGCATAACAAAAGAAAAAAAAAAACAATTTAGACCAAATTTGAGTGTTTTTTTTATTTCAACATACTTCGTTCTTGTTGGTAGACCCTGTATATGGTATCATCTAAGTATTTTCTGTATGCCTCAGCATTTTCTTATTGTATAAAACTATGAACAAATGCCTCGTTCCTATGCCTATCATTTCATTTCCACTCTTTACTTCTCTATTGGCTATGATATTTTGCCTATTATGCAACAAAACCGCACTAGTGGATAATTATACATAGGTATATGCAAGCACGTGTGACTTGTAGCGTTATTGGCTTTTGTTGAGTTCTGTGGTTGCGTTGCATTTGCTCTTTGATTGCGCACAGTATGTGAGTGTTTGCCTTTTTTTTGCGGTTACCTGAAATCGAGAATTTATATCGTGACCACAATATAATTTCACAGCCACAAAGTGTGTTTTAAAAAGGTATGCCTCCACGCAAAGGACAAACCGCCAACCGGCAGCCGCCAGCCGCAAGCTACTAGACAGCGCGCCGCCAAACACCCACAACTGTGCTGGTTTGTGAAATTATATGCAAAATGTAGTGTACTTTTGGACGATTAACGCTTTAATGTGTGCGAAAGTGTAAAGTACCGATGAAATGTTTAATGTGCGAATGCACTCACCGTTATCCACGCATTGAATTGCCCATACAAATTATTGTTGTGCTACCTTCGCTACGATTATATATACGTACATATGTATAATATGCGGATGTGTGCGTGTCACACGTTCATAAAATTTCAACGAAGCGTGTATCAATAGTGAATACATAAATAGCATAATTTTAAAATTAAATGCTCATATTAGCTTGCAAGTTTGGAAATTAAGTATTTACGATTATAAGCATTTAAATTCAGTTGAGCGCCCAAAGCTTTCTTGCTTATGCATGCAAATTATTACAGGCAGGCAAATGTTTTCACTGTGTAGGCACTTCTATGAAATTAAAGTTCAATACAGAATGAAATTAAAAACATTCGCCTGGAGCTGCAATTATTAGAGCTCTATAATGGCACCGTCAAAGCCAACAATTTGATTACAGTGCTTAATATGAACTTTATTTGGATAAATTTACTTATTTAATAATAATTATTTGAATATTTCAACAAAATATTCTAACAAGGAAGGAAAAAAATTGCATTGATATCGATCTATACTTTATAACTTATTATTACTAATATTATTCATTCTAATAAATTACGATAATATTTTAAAAGTATAATAAAATAAAAATTCATGAAATGTAAAATTAAATTTGAGAAGCAAACGAAAACGAACCCAAAAGGCCAAATCTTGTAGAGAAAACTACAGACTCGACACATTCTTTAGATGCAATAGTCAAGCCCTCATGATAGATCAGATAAAAAACGTGTATATATAGACAATTTAAATATTTAATTATTTAATTTTTATAAACAATTTAGTTAATTATGTCTTGACTCCGATAATATAAACCGCATTTATTTGCATAGTACATTTAAAAAAAAATTACCTTTTAGGTAAACGCCCATAAAAAATGTTAAAGCATTATTTAAATAAAAAACTCGTATTTATTTTTACGCTTCAGTAAACATAAAATTCGCTGTTTTATTTTCATTAATTTTTTTTATTTTGTTGTGGTTATTGGTTGAACTCACAAATCACCAAAGCACCGTTTATTTATGCCATCTATATTTGTATTTATTTTGACATTTCACAAGGCATTTGGTTGCCGCTACTATAATTGTTGGTGTTGTGCTGTTAACTAACATGTACGAACACAAACCACATTGCACTGTCACGCCAAATCGGCATAACTCATGACACGTATACGCCGTGTCGGACAGCGGCAAAAGAATTGAAAAATTAGTGTTAGTGGAAGGCATAGCATAAGGCAGGTGATATTTACATATCGTGTTTGGTATGTAACAGCTTACGGATTGCCTTAAGGATTGCTTTTGTTTTATTTGTATGTAGATGCATGTGTGTGTGCATACTTTCATAAGTTTGGGTAATCAACATATACGTATTTATGTACTTTAAATAATAAAATTATTGGCATATAAAAAGGCGGCTTTTGAATTTTTTTTAATTCTGTAAAGAAAATTCACCTGCGCAGGAAGAACTAGAGGCATTAAACTAAAACATAGTCGGTGTTCGCAAGATGGCAGGCTCAGAGCAACTCAGATTATGCTTATATTTTAATGTGCTACTGTATATAAAATTATAAATCCAGCTAGACTCATCCTTAACATAAATAACATGTGAATAATTTGCAATTCATACTGTTCACCCCTTCAACCAAGATTCAAACGACCTCATCAACGCTTTAAATTCAAACCAGCTTTTCGTTCAATTATTTTTCAAAGGTGAAAATTTTTAATAGAAATCTACATGCAACTGGGTGTGCTCGTGAACATATTAATCAAATAATCACAATGCATTCAAACACAGTTTGCATAACAAGCTACACTTATACACATATTTATAGGTGTCCACGCACTCACATAAATAAAAATCCAAAGGTTTTTGACCGACAGCCAGGCAATTTTCACGAGCACTACACGCGTAGCGAATTTTGCGGCATACAGCATTCTAATATGCCCTTTACGTTTTCACAAAAAAGCCAGCCAAAATCTAATTAGTATTCTGTTGACAGTTTTATCGTGATTACGCACACTTATATATAGCTACATTGACGGGAGCTCGAGCGTTGAAAACGCAATGTCGAGCACTTCCTAAGCGGCGGTGTTGCACAGTGCGCAGGATATGTTCGACTTCCTGAGTTCGCGCGCTTAGCCGATGGCTCCTCACACTGGCTACCAAAATGTTACCGGCAACGCTGCTGTGCAGAACTCAGGTTAAAATTATTGTTGTTTTTTTTTGTTTCAACCTGGACTGTAGGTAATATGTACAGGCGCAGCTAATCACGGGTGTTGCATGCTACCAAAACGCATATATGAATGAGCCGGTGAAAACTTGTTTCGCATTCTACTCTGCGCTCCGCCATAAAATATCCCATTGGTCATCAAATATGAAAAGTACAACCTCAAAGTTGATTGGTCAGCATAAAATCAAAGGAGTTAGGTAACATTAGCTACTCTTATAAAAGTGAGGGTAATAAAAAGAACAATTGGGAGTATAAAAACAATAACAACAACTTCCATGTATGTATGTGTGTCCTTTGAGGCTTTTGGGTGACAACCAAATACAGGGGTATTTCCACTAAGCCAGACACGCGACGTGATCACAATATTGAAAATCGAAACATTACACACTCTACAAGCTAACCAGACACCATGGACATGAATATATCTGAAAAGGGTTGAAACAAGTTGTTATATGTGCTTCAATAATGTGGGAAAGTATTTTATATTACGTGAAAAAACAAGAAATGATTAAAGACTCTCTAGAAAGGCAAGTTATATAAAATTTAAATTAAAAAAAAGTCCGATACGGCTGGATATATTCTTGAAGCTTTCTTACAACTTTCTTACATATATTTGTCAGGTAATTATTGAAAGAATAAGTTTTTAATAATAATTTCGATTTTCAAATCATTCTGAAGCGTATATTTTTAAACAAAATTAATATTTTTACTTGTCCTTCGATCATTTGTTTTAGTTTATTGATCTGAGAATATTTTAAGCAGATAAATCTAGCTACCAGACACCTTTTTGGGAGGTCCTTCTGGATGACGGCTATGGGATCAAGGGAAACTAAAATTTTTCACACTAAATCTCTGATTTTTAAAGTATATACAATTTTGTAACTGTGCATGATATTTATTTATTAATTAAATAAATGGCCTATTCAAAATATACGTACAAAAAAGGATATTTTCTGACTTGCGAGTAGATATAACTTCTTAATTGTAATAAACATATTGAAGTATGACTACACATACCTGGTATAAAGAAAAATATGCCAATAAATAGCAACATCTTGCGCCACGTTGATTGTACTGTTGCACGATTGCTTGCCAACCGAAGAGCCTGAACGCACGGTTTATAAACTTTACTCACTTCCATTATAATATATTTACTTTTTTTCAAATATTTACACTTTTCAAAAAAACCCAGCGCTTTGCTTTGCTAGTCCACGCTATATATCGAGTGATAGGCCAATTTTACGCTTTGTTGCCACTAGTAAATAAAAGTACGCACCATAATACATTAGCTGTCAATTCCATAAACTCTTATACCCGATATCGCTTTCTACTAATTCGCATTGGTTGCTTGACGCAAATACTTCCTTTTCAATTTTCACTTTGAAACTGCAACAAATATATGTAGTCCACACTTTGTTGGGAAGCCACAGGCAGAAAAATTAAAAATGAAGAAAATTGCTTCGAAACTTTTTCTATTACAACGGAGTTGTGACGTGCTGTCACACTTCTTTAAAACTAGTTTTGCACTGGATCCATTGCAACCGCATTTGCTACACTTCCAGATTGCGCTCTTCTTTTCTTCGCTCGCCGCTGCCTACTGACGTCACTAGCTCTTTCACATTTCACTGACTTCAATGTCGTACGCTTTATATGCCATTCGGATTTATTTTCCTTTTAGTATAACAACCGTTACTATCGCATAGATATGTGCTTATTCTATTGACTTTTTGCTGTGAAAAAATTACACTTGACTGCGTTGTATTTATTCTTGCTCTCCTCTATCTACCGTTGCCTGTTTGCTTTTGCTTTTGCTAAGGTGCATTTCTGACTTCCTAGAGCCTTTTCGATTTTTCGGTGCTTTCAGTGTGCTAGCGATTCCTTTTAAGTGTTAATCTCGATTTTACGTTTCCTGCCGTTTTATGCATTAGGAACCAAATTTTCTTCTCCTCGATTAATTCTCTTTGTTAGGCTTTGTCGAATTTTTGTAATTCCAAATGCAATTTCAGTGCAGCACCGCAACAGATTTGTGTTTATGCAGTTTTTTACGTGTTGATATCAAGTGGAAGTCGGGAGAGCGCCTGCAACACTGCAAAGAGAGTACGAATGAAAATAGTAAATCAACTGGAAAAGATACACAAATATTTGAGCTTGCATTATACACCTCTACTATATACGATGACAAAAAAAAATGCAACAACACTGTTCAAAGATTTACGCTAGCAGTTGGGGCTTAAGATACTAGAATCCGCCGGCTAAAAACTCCATGAAAGCTGCATACCAAGACACGTTACTCCTGCCATAAATCAACTGATTACAATTACTGATACTTCGCAACACTTTATATAAAGAATATGGATGTATGAGAACATTGTAAAAATTTAACATATATGAAATTAGTTTGGTCTTTTTCAGTGCTTTCAAAAACAAAAACTATGCCATGCTAATATCCGCTTCCATTAAATTTAACTTCCTGTCTGTATCCAAAGGATCAACAGGATATGCGGGCTACACAAGAGTCTACTAAAACTTGAATTTTAATGGAAAAAACGAAAGTATGAGCAAAATCTAATGCTCATAATATTTTTGCACACCCCCACGACTTTTAGTGCCAGCAGTGGCAAAGAGAAAATAAATATATTTGCATATACGCTGCTAGTATACATGAAGCGCATGTGTATAGCTAAGAATCATGATGCTTATTCGTTTCAGTGTATCGAAAGGGTATTTGGCGGATATTCGCGAGGCTTTGGTTACTATTAAATATCGAGAGCAAAAGCTGCGGATATGCATGAACGTTTCCAATTGCTTTTTGTAGCTGCACAAATTCCTAAGCAGTGGAAGCTTTGAGTAAATGATCCGCTGATGGAAAGCAAATCCATGAACGCAGACAAATTCGGCTCTTGGGATATGCAGGGAATGCGATACGCGGTGCTTAGTGGCTGGGAATAAGATAAGTAACATGGCATATGTGAAAGTATAACGATATTGCGTAGTATTGGTGAGTTTTTGTGTGTATTGCACTTTATTTATCACAACAAAATCGTTGAGCTGTGTTATTCTAACGCGACTTGCCATTAACGGATACGCAGAGTCGCATTTGAACAACCATAGATATAATGTAAGGTCATGTGACTCAAAATATATAAATGTAAGTTTCTGCCTAAGCTTGATGTTCTCAGTGTGATTTACTATTTATATGAAGAGAGTCGATTAATAAAAAAATTTACATTTATACAAATATATACAAGATCTTATCGCAAAAATCATCGATTGCAATCATTTTTCCATTGAAATAGAATAGACAGTCAAATAATTGGGCAGATAAAAAATTTAAGATTATTGTGCAAATTCACTGAAGCAGAGCAATAAAAATCTCGTTTAGGCTGCCAAGCATGAAATGGTTAGCATACACATATGCATGCAGCTACACATGTAACGCTTTCGGATATTTCTCGAGTGCAACAGCCATTTGTCCACCTGAATGGATTTTTATGTGAATTGAATTGCAACACATTCGCTTTTATTTCACTGTGTTCAACGACTGGAGTGGCTGAGATAACTACGCTATAATGCCTCAGAATGTGTTCACATATAGAAAACAGCACGTGCTTTTACAAGAGCAAAAGTTAAAGCAGCGATGAATTGCTCGTTTAGAATACCGTACGCCTTCTCTAACGAAGGTGCACAACTCAAACCCAAAAAAAAAAAATTTGCACTTAAAAAAAAAAAACAATTAACTAAAAAGGTAGTTGAGAAGAATTGAAGTTATGTTAAACAAAAAATAAATATTGTAATGTACAAAAATAACAATTTTAGATGAAGTTTATGTATTTTCTAAACTCAAATAATTTTCTCGCTGTAAACGTGGAATCAAAGCGAGAAATATATGTAATAGTTTTAATAAGAATATGCTTGAAATAAAATATTAACTCTTTATAGCATTTCTTTTTGCTCCACCATTAGGCAAACGGATACCAATATATCTATTTCCAATCTCTTTTGAAATATATCACCTCTTTGCGAAGTTATTCCCACTGAGAATGCGACAAATAACTAAAAATGTCGAAAAAGGGACAAATTACTTTCAGGAACAACGAATTTATTCACTGCCATTCTGTCTTTCAAGTGCAATTAATCAGAAAGCATTTAAAACTCAAAATCAAAACCATTTAGCAAACAGGTCTCCGCTATCGCACTTATAGGAAACGGCAATTGACATAATGCCAGAAAGTCAGACAAGTAAACAGGTGAGAGCAGAGAGGCAGACAATGGAATGTCGATGTGTTCGCAGCACATTACTCCGGGGATGAAGCATCGGTTGATTTGTAAGCAAGAACAATAGGATATAGAGTGCAAAAACAAATTACAGCCAATTGACAATGCCGCCTTGAAAGAATATAAAAAGAGAATCGAATGAAGGCAATACATAGCCAACAGCATACGAAGGAGGCAAGAACAATGGCAAAATCTAACTCGACTGACAATGGGCTGGCTAATGCAGCTGTCAAGTGCTGCCGCTCTGTAGCCGGAGTGTTAATGATGAAAATGACAATGGTGGTAAGCTTCAACTGGTGCTTTGTACTTGTAGTAATTGTAGTGTAGACATAGCATGGAAATGTGATGACGGCCGTGATTCACAGCAATATTGAAGCATCTCAAATCGAGGTATGGATTTTACAAATGATAATCATATCACTAGCGACGGCGACGGCGGAGAATTGACTTTACCCCCATACTTAAGTGATGATGTCCTTGTTGAATACTGCAGGTAGCATATTGATGTCGTTTTCGAAGCTTACATTTGAGTTATTGAAGAGAACGGAAGAGAAAATGATATAGCGCGCAAACATATTTATTTACATTGTTCTAACTCTGTCGAAGTTAAGTTTAAACGTCAGAAGATATACAATTATTAATGATTTTACGTTCAGCGTATCATCAAATTTAACCAAACAGAAACCAAAGCATTTCTTCTTAATGTAAGAAGTACAATTCGAAAGCAGATGATGAAAAGCACAAGTTTTTAGTGAATATGATTATAAAGTAGAGCTCCATAATATGTTTTCCTTTACAAACAAATAAAGCAGCCATTCTGTTCAATTTCTTCATTTGCATAAGTATAACTTGAAGTTCAGCAGTTCATTTGGCAGCCAAAATAGATTCCCAAAAGCGCCACAATAACAATCAATTTCCAGCTTCTATGCGATTTTACTGCTAAACATGGCGAACTTTGCAAATGTAAATCCACTTGAGTTTATTTCATTTCCAAAGATTTAACCATAAGCGCAAAATAAGATTTCATAATTTCACCAAAGGAAATCAAGAGTTATTGTCAATCCGCCGGCTAGTCAACAATTCAGTCAGCCATGCAGACAATCCTCTGACGTATGCAAATCAGAACCGAAATGTAACAAAACAGCTGTATGAGGTAGCGCACAGAAGAATATAAATATACCAAGCGCTGCGCTACAAAGTCAAGCAGTGCCAACCAGCTGAAGACTTAGCGCCCGCAGCACTGAAGCTGAAATTGTCAGCAACGCTTTTCGTAGTTAGTTCTCCTGCCCTTCGCCATTCTTCCGATCTTCGCAAACATTGTGCCTTTACCGTGACATTGTGCCTCACAAGAAAATGCAACCCCTTAAGGCGTTTGTTCTCGGCTTCTCTCGCTGTCGCTGCAACCCGACCTTGTCGTTCCCTGTTCTTACACTGCAGCCTAGTTTCGACTATTTTAAGATTTGTTACCTGCTGCTTAGCTTTTATGAAGGCTGGTTGCGCTGCACTTACGCTCTACTCATTCGCACTCCTTGGGAGCCTTGTCCTTGCACTTGCAACGTAACACACCTCTGGTTAGCGGTACGAACTTGCAAGCAGGACCAGTTCAGCATTTGCCACAGAAAACTGTCATTTTGGCCGAATGTTTCATTTATTTAAGTCCCATTGTTTGGCTGTTGCTAATGCCACTCCCCGAACGAGTGCGCTTCGGGTGCTCGGCGGACTGTTTTTCCTACTATTTTGCTCACATTAAACTCACTTTTCACTTTTTGCAATTTCGCTATGTTGTCTGAATTCCTCCTTCTTATGCTGCGGTGACAGCAATGTTATTTAACTGCAGTCTGTGTTGCATTCATTTTCAGCGAGGGCCTTCTTGCTACTATCTTTATCTTTGCCCATATATTTTCTCAACTCCTTCGGCTCCTGCAGGACATCTTTCGTACTTGTTTGCTATTTGACGCTTGTTTACTTATTTCCTGTTGCAATTTTAATGTTGTTGGTACGTTGGCTGCTGACAACAACTGCAACAACAAGGCTGTAACCGAGTTTATTGCTTTTGGCGCTGCCTTTCTTAAGGTGGTTTTTGCTGCTGTTGTTGCCCTTCTGCCCAAACAGCTGTTGTTTATTACGTAACCATTGGAGCAAATGACAAACAAAACATGCATAATGTCTGTAGTCAATTCCACTTGTCCTTTACAGGAGCTTACACTTTTTGTTGCATTATTACGATGAAATTTAAAGTTCTTAAACTGTGAAAAAGAAAACTCTGCACAATGCTATATAGAGTTGTTTTCATTAAGGTAAGGCTTACTTACAGGAATTTTGTTTCGCAATCAGCATGCCATTATTTAAGCTTACTTTGTATCCACTATTAGAATTAATTGTCGAAAAATAGTTTTAAGAGGGAAAACAAATCATCAACATAAACAATGAAATTATTTTTTAAGCGAAGTGCAAGAAATTTTAAATGAAAACAAATAAAAGATTCAATAGAAGAACTACTTTTCAAACCCTCACTTAACTACTACACGAAGTTTAAAAAGAAGTAAAATGAGCAAACCTCGATGCCAGTAAACGAAGTAAAAAAGCGAAAGGAAGCAATTGCTGGACTTTGCTTCGCAAACTTGACGATGCTGAAAGGAGTTGTGTAATTCTTATGTGTGTTTGGTATGCCTTTCAAGTTCGTTAAGTTTTCGGTTTCTAAACTACTTCTAGTGTTATTACAACGTACTACGGAGCTATTAGGTGGATATACAATATGTACTGTTTGTACTTTGCTTATCTTTGAATTTCCTTAAACGAACTTCGCTCACA